CACTCACTCACTCATTCACTCACTCACTCATTCACCCACTCACTCACTCACCCACTCACTCATTCACTCACTCACTCACCCACTCACTCATTCACCCACTCATTCACCCACTCATTCACTTCCTCACTCATTCATTCATTCACTCGTTCATTCACTCACTCACGCACTCACTCATTCATTCACTCACACACTCATTCACTCGCTCATTCATTAGCTCACTTGCTTGCTCAGGCATTCATTCATTCACTCACTCGCTCACTCACTCACTCCCTCACTCACTCACTCCTTCACTCACTCACTCACTCATTCATTCACTCACTCACTTATCCACTTTCCAAACATCTGTTGAGCAGGAAGTACTGGGCACATTGCAGGGAGTCAATGAAAATAACTTCGCAAATGAATGAATTTTGATTTTTCCACAAAGGCTGCAAAAATATTAAGTAGTCCATGGATGTGAAATGGAGTCATGCAACAGCTGGCCAAGTAGGAAGCAGCTTGGAAAAATCCCTCAAAAAGGCAGCGTCTGTGTGGAGCCTCCCTGTGGCTTTGACACTCTGAGGGAGACGAGGAGTTTTAAAAGCTCTTGGAGAGCAGTACACAGTGGGCGCCAGGCAGGGAACAAGGTGGGATGGGGTAGAGAGAACCCTCCGTGGGCTTCTCCCTCGGAGAGCCTGGCGGTGGCCTCTCGCCAATTTTCCCATAGGGACAGCTGTCTTTGGGGCCACCAGCCCAGCTACAGATAAAGTGTCATCGGATATTCTGACTTTCTTTTTGGCCATTGATTTTGCCTGCACAGCTCAACCCCTCCCAGAACCACACGAGCTCGGAACAGACTGACTCCTGGTCCCCCACCTTTTATGCTCTTTATCTTCCTGACATCTCTCACTGCTGGAACATGAACTAGCTTCTACGTGCTCAGTGCTGCCTTGTGTGTTCCACAGGATGGCTCCTCTAACCAACAGGTCAACCAGCTGTCTCTGCAGTTAACCTCCCCACCCAGACATGAGAGGGTCTTTTCTTTATGGTGTTAAAGGGACGGCTTCTCCATCACCCACTGGCAATCCCACACCCTGTCCGCCATTTTTCCAGTTGCATAAAGTAAGAGACAGATCCATAAGAGGAAAAGCCACAAGAAGTACAGCTTCAGTGGGGGTGAAAGTAGCCCCAGGGGTGAGTACCTGGACGGCTGTAGTGCTGGGGCGACCGTGAGGTCGGGGTGTAACGCCCAAGGCTGACCGACCCCGTGGAGCTCGGGCTGGAGGTCCGGCACTGCTTGTAGGAGCGGTCGTCCTGATCCCCCTGGGAGGGAAGACAGCCTGGTGAGCACCAGAGCCAAGAGCACTGCCTGCCCCCTCCCGCCCACCCCCTCTCCACTTGGCATTGGCTCCCCCGATCAAGAGGCTGACTTGGCATGGCCCCAACGTGAAATCCCAGGCACCTGCCTGGGCGCATCGCAAGAGCCAGCTGGGGGCCTGGCCTTGGTGCTGACCTTCCCCTTGGCCTGAGCACGGTCCCTGTGCCGCCCAGTAGTGGAGGGCAGGGTCCCGTCCACCCCTGCACCAGCCCCTCCTTACAGCTGGTCCTCCCACAGAGGAGGTGCAGCCTCCTGACTCCACCTGCATCCTTCGGTTCCCCTCCTGCCCAGCCCTCCCCGGCGCCCACTGAGAACCACTGAGATTCTGCATCCCCCCAAGCTCGATGGGGGCTTCCCAGGTGTGGGAGGAAGGAAGGCGCCCTTCCCAGGCCCAGAAGCCCAATTGAGTCGGACAAGCACTGACGGCTCAGACCCCGTTCAAGCAGGACGGGCAGCTGGAGTGGGCATGGCGGGCGCTGGTGGCGTGAGATGGCATGGCACGTGACTCACGGGAAGAACAGGCTGCCGGGCCCACCACGGCTGGGCACGTCAGCTGAGTCATGCCGCGGGGTGGACGCTGCTGCTTTGCCCCTCGAGGCCAGCGTGGGGACGAGCACTGTGAGAGTCTGGGTCTGGCGCTCATGGCTCCCGTGCCTTTCCGAGCCTACCTTCCACCTCCTAGGGCTCACTCTTCAGCCAAACTGGCCAAGCTCCTGCCCCTACCGCTGGCCTGTGCCCCCACCTCCACGCCCTGCCCAGGCCAGCCCTCGTGCTGGCATTGCACCTACAAGGTTCTCACCTCTGCTTCACCCAGAGCCCCTCTGGCCTATCCCACCACAGCGACGGGCATCTTCTCTCCAGGGACAGCTGGAGCCCTGCTGTCTGGTCTCCATCTCTGGGCGCCTCCTGTACAGCCCTGTTGGGCAGTTTGCACCCTACGGGTGTCCTGCCTCCTCGCCCAGCCTGTATGTGGGGCTCCCTGGCCACATGTGGGTTTAGAAGTTCAGTGCTAGTTGGCCACTTGCATGGTTTGGTTGTCACATTCCTGGATGCAGGGGTTTGATGCCCAAGCAGACTGGAGTCTGATCGGCAGCTATCTATGTCACTGATTAATTTTGAGAAACAGGAAAAAAAATTGGCCTGCTAATTATAACTGCTATTTGCTAGAGAAACACTTTCAGAATATTTATCCGAGAGGACCCGGGCACTTCCTGTGTGGACCACTGGAAGCCGCACGAGGTGGGCCCAGGCTAGCCCAGGCTCCCAGGGTTTTCTCTAAAGGAAGCCATGACCCAGACTGCACGAGCCCTGCGCCCCAGGCGCCCGCATTTGCAGGGCGGGCAGACGCACCGGGGAGGCATGCAGATGAGACAGGATTATAAAAATAACCAACCCTGAAGAGGGCACCCCAAGCCACGCAGGGCCACGGCCCTAGACACCACGCCAAGAGCCACAGAGGCCCTCCTGGGGGTGCCGCGGGTGGTCATCTTTATAACCCGGCGGCAGCACCATGAGCAAACTGGGGGTGACGGGGGGGCGGTTACCTCGGTTGGCGTTGGCGAGAGGAACTGAGGGGACTGTGGGCACAACACACAGAGCAGCCCGTTAGTGCCCCGGCACCAGCGGCCACTCGGGGAGAAGAGACAACACAGGACACACATTTGCACGACGGGACCCCTCCTCCAAATGGGAAAGGAGGCCCACCATGGGACTCGACACAGGATCCCAAAACCTTTTAGGACAAATACAGTCAATGGCACCCCGAGAAGGAGGCGCCCAGGACGCTTTTTTGTGCTGATGTGTCTGGAGCTCATCTACATCCTGGCTTGCCTCGACGCCCCACTGCTCTCCCATGAAGACACAGTTTTCCAGAAGGAAGACCGTTGGCTCAGGGCGTGGGGTAGCACATCCTGTGAGCCCATCACCCTCGGTTTTCTCCAGGAAAGGGAAAAAAGGGACCCAGAGAGAGAGGGCAATCCAGAGCCTCGGGGCTTGGGGTGAGGTCCAGTGGTGGCTTTGGAGCCCGGGGGCACGGTGACCTACTCCCCAGCCAGGCGCCCCCCTTGGAGCTGATGGGCACTGTCTACCCCCCACAGATGTGTCGCCAAGACCCAGTGAGGCAGCATGGGACAGAAGCGGCTCCAGAAACTGAGCTCTTAGGCAGAAAGCTCCCTTGTCTAAGGTTTCCCGGCACCCTACAGGGACAGAGACGCTGTGGAGTCTCTGAGGAGGAGCCCCGAGTGGCCAGGGAAGTTCTCTCATACCCTTTTCCCTCCCCTCAGAATGGAAAGCGAAATGTTTCCCAATCTTCCCATTTTACAGAAGGGGAGATGGAGGCTCTGCCAGATCTCTGTGCTTCTAGCCTGCTGCTTTTTTCTCTGCTGGACTCCTGCACTGTGATAAACTGCTGGGAGGCTGCGAGTCTGGAGAAGCATGTCCAGCCCTGAGGCCAGTTTCTGCTCTGCTCGGTCCCCTGACCCACCGTCCTGTGGCTTCCCAGTCTCCAGTCCATCATTTGCCCACAGGAGGGCCCCCGTGGAAATCACCACCAAGCAGGCTCCCAGCCGGGTCATGGAGGACCCAGAGAGAGGAGAGCCCTCGGGGTCCCAGGAAATGGGGAGGGAGGGGCCTCTGGCACCTCTGGGCAATGGCAGAAGCCGGCCTGGAGCTGGCAGTGACAGAGTCGGCCACTTGGGCCCAAGTCCCCGCTCTGCCCCTGTAAGCGCACGCCCCGGGCCCACATTGCTCTCAGCCTCGTCTGCTCCTGGGACAGTCGTTCCCAAAGTGCTGGGCTGCAGGAAGCGGATAAACATATGAGCCCAGCATCAGTGCAGAGGGAGAGTGGGCCTGGGGGTGGGCGGTGACAGTGACAGCGTGACACTGATCAGCCACTGCGGCGTGACCGACGAGTGCACTGAGAATTTCTGTCCCCTGGGCTGTCCTGGCCTGGGCAGGAGAGCTGACCCAGGACCACCTTGGGCGCAGCTGATCACCCTGCAGGCCCCTCAGGGAGGGAGCCCGGCTGAGGATTGGCTGCAGATCTCAAAGAGAAGGCATGAGTTTGCAGCTGAGCCGGGAGGCACACCCAGGTGCCCGAGAGGGTGACTCCCAAGCCACGTGCTCAGCCCTCCCTTCCCACTGCACCTCTCCTGGGGGACAGGAATCATCCACAGTTCACACACAGCGGGCCATGAGGGGTGTGACTTCAGGTGACAGCTCAGACTCTGTGTGCATTTGCTGTGTGACGCTGCACTCCGCTCAGGTGACACCCATGTGACATCCCGACAACACTCCCAGCGGCCCTGCACACGGTGGAGGTCCCCGAGAGCCAGTTTGCACAGGAGTGCGTGGGATCCAATAAGGCGAGTTGGTCTGCGTCCCAGGGCTGGCAGGAGGTGGAAGGGGAACTTGAACCCAGCCCTCTGCGTCTGGGTCCCTGTCTTAGCGGATGCATGAGAGAGAGTTAAGGAAACAGCCAGCGCATGGTCTTTGGGGCAGAAAGGCCTGGTTCTGGTCTCCGTTCCACAGCTCACTGACTGGGGTTCGTGGCCAGCTCACTTGCCCTCTCTGACTCTTTTACAGTGCCTTCCACCCGAGTTAAGACTCAACGCAGCTCAGACCAGACGCTGGAGGGTGAAGTGCCACCCCCGTCGAGACGGGCGACCCCGGAGCCTCAGCCTGGCTTCCCAAGAAGCTCTTCCCTGGAGACTCCAACAGGAGGGTCCAGGGGAGCCGTGTGGAGGGCCTGAGCTCCCCTGCCCCGGGGGAGAGCCTGCCGGGCCATCCACGTGCAGACAGCACACACACTCGACCCACGGCCTGGCAGAACGCTCTTCCCGTCTATCCCAGGCACCCAGAGTCACACTGAAATCTCAAAACCACCAAAAGTAAAGTGAAAACCAACTGCAAACACCACGTTAAATGGGGAAGGGCAGCCGTGAATAGGAAGTCACCAGTAAAGGACATTGCCCACAGGGCCACGGGGGAATAAATCACTTGTGGTTCAACCAGGTGGTCAAACCAGCTCAAGGAACTCATGGGACAGAAGAGCAGGCCACAGCTGGGGAGGGCGCAGCATGGCCAGGAATGTTCTGGATAAAGGAAACAAAACATTAATCCCAAACTTAAGAAAAGGAAGACACTGTCCCTTTGTTCTAGCATTTTCCTAAATGCCCACATGCTTCCTGCTTTCTGCCCCACGTAAGGAGGCTTTTCCAGACCCGCTCCTGCACTGTGCGGCCTGCTGTCTGCGAGGGGAAGTGTGGGGCCAGGGCAGATGGGGAATTCTTTAGAGGATGCACACAAAGTTATCTGGGGGGAGTAGAGAAGGCTGAGCGCCCCCGGAGAGCAGCGAGGACGGAGTAAACGGGCCTCACTGTGGGCGTGCGCGCCCCGACGCCGCGGCAGGGCCGTACCTCGCCGCAGCTCTGCCTGTCTCCTGCCGCGTGGCTGACGTAGGGCGAGTAGGAGATCATGTCGGGGCGGTCGATGTTGTAGATGGCCTTGCTCTTGGGAAGAGCAGCCAAGTCTCTGTAGTCGAGAATCTCATCGCCCAGCTTCGCCTGGGAGAGGAAGGAGAGCAGGGGGAGGGCGGTTAGACCCCCGGAGGGCGGCAGCCCCAAGGCCAGCGGGAGCAGGGGCTCCCCAGATCCCAGTGCAGGCAAAGCGGGGAGAAGACACGGGGGTGCAGAGGCCTCGTGGTCATGCAGGCCTGGGCCCCGAGGCACAGCCACGGAAGGGCCGCTTCCACCGGCCTTGAGGAAGCGTCCTCTCTGTGCCTCCACTTCCTCTCTGCGGAGTGGGGGAGACGGTCCCACAGGGCAGCACTGGGCTCAGAGAGGTCGAATCTGTGACATGCCTGGCAGGGACACGGCAGACAGTGAGACTCAGCCCGCGGCCCAAAAACACAAACACACATCTATGTACACATACATGCAAACAAGACACACACACGTGCGCATATACACATGTATGCACACAAGCGAATAATACATTTGTGCATACACACAAATACATGAATGCACACACATGCGTCATACACACAAATAGACGCATACTCACACACATACATGTGTGCATACATATGACACATAGACACCCATGCGAATACATGCAAGTACACAATACATACAAATATGTGATGCATGCACACACAAACAAAACACACATATACAACACATGTTTGCATCCATAAACACATGTGCATACACAAATACATCTGTGCAGGTACATAAAACACATACACATACACTTATGCATGTATACAAATACACATGTGTGCACACACATATATGCATGCACACTATATATGCTTGCATACACAAAATACACCTACACATGCATACATGTGTACATAAATAAAAATGCACATATAAAAGACACACATGCATGCATTTAAATACATGGTGATGCATACATACATGTGTGCGCACGTGCAAACACAACACACACATGCACGTATGCATACACAAATACATACACATACACATAGAGAATGTGCCGTCTAAGATGTATACATGTGGATGTACACATGCTTACACACACACCTCCACCCACTCAACCCACTCCCACATACTAGCACACACTGGCAAACATACTTGCACAACTTGCATATGCCTATACATTCTTACACACCTACACTTGCAGAAACACCCACTCACACTCCTACAGACACTCTCTCACACACCTACACACTAGCACATATGCTCACACACAGCCACACCCACACCCACACTAGAGCACATTCACACCCACACATGCCCACACTTGCTTATACACACTTACACACATTGACACATACTCATACCCACACCCATACTCACACCCACACACTTGTGCACACACTCCCATGCACTAGCACACACACTCACACCCACCTAACCTAGTATACACTTACATCCATACCCACACTCTTGCACACACACACACTCAGCACTTTTGAGCACTTCCAGCATGGCAGCAGAGTGCCTGACATTTGACAGGCCCGGGGGGATGTGACCTTGGTGGGGTCCAGGACAGCACCTGACCCACAGAGGGCGCTCATGCATGTTGCTACGCGTGGAGCCACTGCACATGCTCAGGTGAGGTCCACCAGGCCACCCGCCTGGTCCCCCGTGACTTGGCCCAGCCTTCCTCTGCATTACCCCACCACTCACAGGCTTGTTGCCCCCGCCAGGCCCCTCCTCCCTGGCTCCAGGACCCCCGGGGGCTGCGTGGGGCACATGGCGGGCTCAGACAGGTCCAAAGATGGGCATCCTCACAGCTGAACCGCAGCCTTGGCAGAACCACACACGCAACCCTGGGCTCTCCCAGCAGCGACGAGGCTGATCCCCCTAACATCTGCCTCTGCCCCCAGGTTTCTACTGCGCTCCTCCAGTGCTGGCCGAACGTCCACGGTCTATGATCTCAACGGACGAGAGAAATCTGCCTGCCCAGCCTCACCGACCACGACTCAGCTCCCCGCCGGGCGGACGCCATGGCTTCCGGCCCTCCTGGAGCTCCCGCACGTGGTCACCTCTTTCCCCTGACGTGTCCCCCTCTGAGGCGGATTAATCTCAGCCTGGCACTGCCAGCCACAGGCAAAGCTGGCCAGTCTGGCTGCCCTCGCTAGCTCGGCCCCATCCCAAGCCCAGCGAGAACCCTCATCCCAACCCAGGCCTCCTGCAGCGTCCCCGCCAGGCCAGTGCGGACCCTGCCCTCCTCTGTGCCATGGGACTTGCTGTGCCCTTCCAGCGCCAGGCGGCTCCTGTCTAGGCCCTCACTGCCCACACCTAGATCTGGCAGCAGCCTCTTGGGGGCTGCCCAGCCAGCACTCACTCCTAACAACCATCACCAACAACAGCCGTGACACCATGAGCTGTACCCAGGGACAGCACTGGGCCAGGCCCTTCATGACTCGCTCACGAAATACTCACAACGAGCCCATGAGGGGAGTGCTCACAGCAACTGCACTTCACAGAGGAAGAAGCCAGAGCCCAGAGAGGTTGGGTAACTCGCCCAGAGTCACACAGCCAGGGAAGCAGGTGTCGGGCGGACGGGATCCAGGCTGTCTCACTCCAGAGCCCTGCTCCCCACCATAGCTCTCTTCTCTGCCAGGGCGATGTCTCCCACGCTCCGGCTGCATCACATTGTCCTCCAGCTCCTTCCAGCAGCCCCCTTCTCGGACGGATGACGCAAACCCTGTGATCCCCAAACTTGGCCTTGATGTTCCCGGGCCGTTCACCCTCATATGTCCTCTCCCGTGCCCCCGTGTGCCAGGCTCAGCCCCCACACTCCAGCTTTCCCACGCCCCCCGGGGTCCAGCAGCCCCAGCCCACCTCCCCCAGGAAGCCCTCCCTGACCACCCAACTCCAAGGTTCTCGTAGTCGCTGGGTACTCACGGGGTGAACTCAGCCATCTGTGACATAGGTTGAGAGAGTGAATGCCTGAGGATTCCCTTTGGCGCCCTGGGCAGCGTTCAGAAGACCTGAGTTCAAATCCCGAGTCTGCCATTTGCAATCATGATGGTGCCCTGATCAGCATTTTTCAGCTGCTCCTCTCTGCCTTCGGGCGAAATCTGAACTGAGGCTGCTGGGGACTTGGCCCTTGTGTATCTGCTTATCCTGCTCCCACTCCCCCGACCCCCACGCCACTGGCCACACTGAACCCCCTACAGTTTCTCAATCATCCAGAGCCTGAGGGCTTGGCACCTGCTGTTCCCTCTCTCAGACAGGCCCTTCCCAGGCCTCTTTGCCCCGCTCATCCTCTGGTCCTTCCAGACTCAGCCCAGGCCTTCCAGCTCCTGGAGACCGTGCCTGCATCACCTCTGCCATCTGGGTTAGGTGTTCTTCTCCTTCAGATAAAGGTGCTGATCTTTGTGTGTTGGTGCCTCTGTCTCCCCCTTCCCCCGGACTGTGGCTCCTGGGGGTCCAGGACTCTGATTCACCATGGAGTCCTCAGGGTGTGCTTGCCAAGTTGAATTAAAATCAATCGGGGATTTGCCAGAGTCAAGTGGATTCTCTGGGCCTTCATCTCCTCCTACACGATGGGAATACCACCTGTGTCTCGCCCATCCACCTGCTGGATTTCGTGAACATCAGACGGGAGGGAGGGCTGGGAGGGGCCCGCACTCTCAGGTCACTGGAGGCCGCACCATCCTCTCTCACCTGTCTCCGCCACCATCACAGCACTCAGCTGCCTGCTGGCTTTCTCGGCCCCATAGAGCTCATGTCAGCGAGGCTGGCCTTGCCCTGGGTTACCCCCGACAGCAGGGGTCAGAGCCACAGCCTCACAATGCCAACTGCCTCCAACAGCGCTCAGAGAGAGGCCCGCTCAATCCCTGACTGGTGGCTTAATGGCCATGCTCCTGGCTCCTCAACACCTGTCTATCCCAGTGGGGCTAACAGATCCATTTCCTCCCCCGCAAGGCCTGGGGTGGTCGCCGTGACAACAGGCTACCCTCTCTGATTGGCGGAGGCCACCAGGGTGTGTGTACAAGTGTTTTCTCTCTGCTTTCTTCTCTCCTAGACTCCATCCAGCACAATAAATAATAACCATAATATGCCCATATGTGATGTTATAATTATGATATAATCCTGTCGATAATAATGTATTATAACCCAACAATGTTGCTTTTATGCTATGCCGCCTCACTGCTTTATTACCATGGTGAAGAAAGGGCACCAAACAAGATACTCAGTGCGACATCATCTTGTTAAAACACACACACACACACACACACACACACACACACACACACACACACACATAGAAAAGAGACCTAGACCTAAAGGGTGTACTCCAGAATGTGAATAGTGGCGACTCCGGCTGGTAGGATAATAAATGGCATTCATTTTCTTTTTTGCACCGATCACTATTTTTTTTCCTAATAAATGTGAATTACAATTGTTATAAAGAAAAAAGGCAGTAAAAAAGATTATTTAAAAACCCCACGATTAATTGAGCACCTACTGTATATACATTTTATCCCTGACACTAAGATGAACGAGGCATGGCCCCCGATCACCAGTAGCTCACAGCCCGTGGGGGAGACGGCAGCCTCACGATAAATTCGGTTCCGTTCCTGCACACAGGGACATTGCGGGGACCCATCTCCCCCTGACTGGGTGGTGGCTCCATGGCTTAGAGGCTGTGACACAAACAGGTTCCTGCACCTCTCTGAGCTGCGTCTGAGAAGTGGGTGCAGTGATGCTGAGAGGCTGCAGGAGGCAGCAGGGCACACTCCTTGGTACCCTGTGTTCAAGGCACCTCCACCGTGTCAAACTAAGAACTAGCAGTTCAGATGCAGGAGGCCGGATTAAATTAGTTTGCTCGAGGTCTTCTCTTTAAAACTGGAATCCAGCGTTCATGTATCTGCTGAGCAGGAAGTTCACCCACGCTGAGACGGCGCACAAGTTGCAGTCTACCTTAGTGGAAAGCACACCCAGCTCGGGGGAAACTTCTCGGCCCCCAACATCCTGCGCTGTCCTTGCAACCTCGCGTTCAGCTCCGCCCAGAAGCTCCCAAGGGTAGGGAGGCCATCTCACCTGATCAGGAGCTGTGGCACTCGGCTGTGCTCAGAACTGCCTGGCGGAACAGGGGACCCACCATGGCTGCTTTTCAGCCCTGAGCATGGGCGTCCCCGGGAAGAACCCACGCTTTGGGACGACAGAGACCTGGGTTCAAAGCCCAGCTCCACTGCGTCCTGTCGCATGACACTCAAGTAACTGTGACAAGAGAGCCCAGCGTCACTGCTCATGGCATGGTTACACGGTCACTGCAGTGCCTGAGCCCTTTACAAACACCCACTTCCTTAAAAAAACGATAGCTGTATTTAACGAGCAGTTACCGTGTGCCGTGCGGGGATGGCGGCAGCAGCGGCGGCGTCTGCGGAGCACAGACCGAGACAGGCCCTCCGCTGAGTACTTTACAAACACCATCTCATTTAAGTAATGAGTCACAATGATTACTATTCATGACGATGATGGTATTATGGGCTGACTTGTGTCCCCCAAAATCCATATGTTGAAGCCCTAACACCCAGTGGCTGTATTTGGAGATAGGGTCTTCACTGCCCAGAGCTAATGGCTATCAACAGCTAGGTAAAATGCTCCCAATCATTTTTATACTTGTATGTGCACACACCCATACACACCTACACACACATACACACAGCCATACGCACACACACCTCCACATACACACCCATATACACGTGTACACCCACACCAAATGCACATGCACATACACACACCCATATGCACATGCACACACACATGCACACACACACACACACCCATATACACATGTACACACACACCAAATGCACACACCCACATGCACACACCATATGCACACACATATACACACACACACCCCCCACACATGCACACTCATATGCACACGCACACACACACACACACTCTTGAATGGAAATGGGATCACACATGTATTATCCTTAACACACTTCTCCTAGGAACACTTCCCACGGTAACAGGCACAGACCTGCCCCGTTATTCGCAACGCCCACCGGAGCTACGTGTGCTGAGGACTATTTGTTCAGGCAAGCCCGCGGGGCTGGATGTGGCACCATCACCACCACCACCACAAACGCAGCTGTGAGCACCCCTCTCCGTGCACTCGTCCCCACACACCCGGGGGGGCGCTGGGTCACACATGCGTCCCTGGCGAAGCTGAGTCAGCCTCACAAAGCTGGCACCGATCTCCGCCCGCCGCAGCGAGGGGGGAGCGGGCCCCACATCCCCACGAGGACTCCCCGGCCCCCAGGGCCCACTCAGCAACCATCCCAGGCCCTCGGCCCTCCCACCGCCGCCTCCCTGCCTCCAGAGACAGAGTCCAACTTACATAAATTGCGCGGCTCGGAGACCCTGAGGTGCTGGAAGCAGGACCCGAAATGATGCTCTCTGAGGAAGTTCTGGTTTCCTGGAAAAGGAGGAAACAGCAGGAGATGGAAAGCAGAATATGTCAACGCTAAGAACCTTCCAGAGGCAACTATCACAAATTAAACTCCAGCAGAAACGCCAGCTCACGAGGTATTTTTTTATTTGCAGGTTGAAAGAGTTCTTAAAATAAACACGCAGGCTTGAAAGAGCGACTGGGAAGCTGTAACCAGACAGGCGCGGTGGGCACACGGGCCACAGGCGGAGCAGCAGCGGCGCAGCGCTGGCTGGAGACGCTCCAACGACCACTGAGATTTCACGTCACGGAAATGATCTGTTTTTCGGAGGATGAGAGCAAGCGATGCATTTTCAAATGGGTCTGTGAGCTCCAACGGCAAAGGCCATCTCTTTTACCCAGTTTGGCTGCTCAGAGATGTTATTTTCCACCCAGATTACGAGGGACGTGTTACAGCTTATTCTCCCAGCCCAGGCCTCTCTCGTCAGACTCTGGGATGGTCTCAGTGACCCTCAAGACCATTCTCCAGCCTGACCCCACAGCTCTGCCCTTCATGCCCCTCCGACCCCCCAGCCCCAGCCCCAGCAGCACTTGCAATAATCCCACACCCCAGGTAAGTCTTAGAAATGGCCCTTCTGAGGTCACCGCTGACCACTCTCACCATCGCACCTTTGGTCTTGGCCCGGGGGCCTCTTTGCTGCCGTCACATCTGTGACCTGCTCCTCGAATGCCCACTGCTGTTTGGAACGACTCCTGCCCCTCCTCCGTCCCCAACCACATCTGCTGTATCCCCCGAGGGGATGGTTCCCCTGACCGTCTATCTCCTCCACTCCCGGGTGTCAGGCCTGCCCATCCCTGCGTGGACACTCTTTCTCCAGCTCCCACTCCTCGACACACCTGTGTCCATCCCCATCTGCAGGGCGTGACCTGGCGGCTCCACGTCCCTCCCCTGATCCAGCCCCCACCCCTGCCGGGACCACCCACCAGCTTAGCTTTCCCACATCTCCCACTCGCCCCATCTAGGTGGAGCCCTTCTCCACAAAGGCCCTCCCCAGCCACGACCTCAGACCTCTCTCTCTGAACCCCACTCATGCTCCCGCTGCCTCCTCTCCTGTTTTCTAAGCAGGCCCCTTCCCCTAACCCATAATTCTGCCCAGCCCCTCTCAGTGGTCCACACCTGCTGTGGTGGCACCAGCAGCCTAGGAGAGGCCATGTTATAGGCTGAACTGTGTCCCCCACAAAACTCATATGATGAAGTCCTAACCCCCAGTACCCCAGAATGTGATTATATTTTGAGGTTGGGCATTTAAAGACATAATTATTTTAAAATGGAGATTTTAGGGCAGGCCCTGATCCAATCTGACTGGTGTCCTTATAAGAAGAGGGGATTAGGACACAGACACACACAGAGGGATGACCACATGGGGACACAGGGAGAAGACGGCCAACAAGCCAAGGGGAGAGGCCTCAGAAGGAACCAACCCTGCCCACAGCTTGATCTCGGACTTCCAGCCCCCAGAACTGTGAAAGAATAAATTTCTGCTGTTTAAGCCCCAGTCTGTGGCACTAACACCGGCCATGGAGCCCTCCCCCACCCTCCCCAGTAGATGACACCCAGCTCCTCCTACACTCAGCAGGACACCAGTAAGGAGAGGACAACACCAGGACCAGACGTGAGGCCACACGCAGCAGTGGGAGGGACAAACCTGTAAGGCATGGGGAGTGGAGCCCGGGTAACCCTGACTGCAACCCTGGTTCTGCATCTAGAAAGAGAGAGAAGAGGGAGAGGCCGTGACGTTCCGTGGTCATGTCTTCACCAGCTCGCTTGTCAGCGCCGGTCCATCCCCTCTCCGTGCCTCTGATTGTCGCCCTGGCACCCTCCAGGACCAAGCCTGGGGCCTCCTCCTCCTCCTCCTCTTCCTCCTCCTCGAGGTCCGTCCTACCACCCCGGGTACCTCGGCCCCAGCTCTGCACACTGGACAGGGTGTTGACTCAGGGGTCTGCCTGCCCCTCAGACCACAGGCTTCCGGAGGCTGGCCGGGGCTGGGGTCTCCTCGCAGAGCTCAGCCCGACCCCACGGTGCAGTCTGAGTCTTTGGCCACCCCAGGCAAGACAAGGTCACGTGCTGTTTGCAAAGAAGCCGGCTCCACGCCAGGCAGGTAACAAGCGGTCTGTTTTGCTCGCTGTCCCTGAGGTCGGGTCGCCTATCTTAGTGGCCAGAAATGATGTACGTATACATTTTACACATTTGAAAAAACCCTTTGGGTCTCAGCTTCCTTCTCCATAAAATGGAAAAATCTCCCTAAAAGATGCTTTCCGTTTCTGAGGATCCAGCCAGAGACGTGGCCTGGGAGGGGCTGGGCTGGTAAATCATTCTTTTTCTTCTTCAGTTCAAGCTGGGCTTGTGACAGCAGCCCCTTCTCTGCAAAGCAGACCAACACTGGGTGTTTTCAACGACAGGGCCCCCTGAGCTGAGGCAGCATCCCCCAGGCCCCGAGGGATGTGTCCCGGCACAGGAGGGGCGCTGGGGGTTCGTATCAGCACTGCCGTGGCCGAGGGCTGGGGCAGCTACAGCCCCGGGCGCTGGGTTGGTTTGCGCCAGCACCTTGAAGGCGCACCGAACAACAGCTGCCGGCTGCGCTTCCTCTGCCTGGTTCCCAGCCCCGCGGAGAGGGGAGAGCAGCGGAGCGCCGGGTAGGTGAGCCCAGACCGGAGCGAGCTGAGCTGAGCTGTCTCCCCTGAGTCAGGAGCCCAGGGCTTTCTCTCACCTTCCCCTCCCTGACTCCAGTTCGCCCAAAGGAGCCTCACAATTCACCTCAGTACCCAGGTGTGTTCTCCGGCGCCTTGCTCATGCCCGCAGACACGGAAGGGGCCGGCAGCTCATCCAGCCCCATCCCTACCACTCCGCCTGGCCCAGGGCATGCAGTCCTATAACGGCGCCTGGGGCACCGGGTTCTCGTTAAGGTCACACACAAGTCACACTGACGCCGCAGAAGGGGTCTAACACCCATCATCTCCTTGTTAAAGCCGAGGGGTTGCGGCTCAGAGAGGGCTAGTGACTTGCAAGGTCACACAGCTGGGCAGAGGCAGAGCCGGCCTCCAAGCCAAGGCTTGCCCCACCACCCTCCAGAAGGTCCTTGCGTTTGAGCCTCCTGGCAGTCTCAACAAGCCTGTTTTCCCCCTGCTCAGCGGCCCCATGGTAAGCACAGGTGCTCTCGCTTCCTCCCAGGTCCCATCACATGAAGCAGCTCAGACCTCTGTGCCCTGGCGGCGGGGGCCGTTGCCTCCAAAAACTGCAACCATGGAAACCGGCAGCCTGCGGGACCAGCCCCAGCAGTCCAGGCTCCTCCCACCAGGTCCCCCGGCCCCTGGGCAGCACAGGAGCAGGAGCCAGCCTGGCCGTCCCCCTGGCCCCCTCCACCCTGCATGGAGCTCCTTTCCAGCTCCTCAGCAGGCACAGCCCCCCTTCCCACAGCTCTGAAACCCTCCTTCAGTGCTCCTCAGACACGAGGCCAGAGCCAGGACAGGGCTGGGCCCTGTGACCCAACTCCTGTACCACCTGCCACTCTCAGCTCCAGGAAGCCTCCTCTCCCCCATCCCGCCCCCCAGGCCCCACCCAGCAGAGTCCGACCCTGCCCCTGTCACAGGTGGAGCACCCTGCAGCCTGGAGCCTGCCCATCCCACATGTGTCTCCCCCCACAGATGGGGAGCTCCTCTAGGGCAGGGACCCCATGGGTCCTATTCATCTCTGCATTCCCAGCACCCAGCCTGGAAGGCACACAGTAGGTGCTCAGTGGCTGTGTGTTGAATGACTGTATGATCTAATGCCCAAGGATGCACTAGGGGTGGGCAGTTAGGACCACAACCTTCTGATGGGTTTTCCCCCGGGCATCCTCGGCAGACACCCAGGAGCCGTCCTTGTCCTGGGAGGCACCCATCCCCCCTGGGGGGGTAGGCAGTCAGGCGGACCTTCCAGGCAGTGAGGAGAGTGCCCTCCCCTCCCAGCTCTTCTTGGCACGGACCGGGTGCTGGCCTCTTGCTGGACGGCCTGGAGGCAGAGACGGAGCTGGCTCCCTGGGGGTCCTGGAGCCCGCTGGGGGCCTGGCACGGAGGGGCACTTGTTGAATGACTGCTGAGCACACCACCGGGCCGGGTGAGGCAGCTCTCGTGGGGATTACCAGGTACCAGTGGAGCCCTTCACCCGCGGGCCGGTTTTGGGGGAGTTAGTGACGCCCACGCCACCTCTGCCGCCACTCTCAGGGGCTGATGGCCCGCCCGAGCAGACCCCGCCGAGCTGACCCCGCCAAGCTGACCGCGGCTGACCGGGGCTGACCGGTTCATGCTCATTAACTGGCTCCCACGCAACAAACAATACAGAAAGGACAGCTCTCTTCCCACCACCCAGGCCTGGAGTGGCCGGCCTGGCTGGGAGAACTATGTCCCAGGGACCCCAGCGCCCAGGGAAAATCATCTGTGTCTGCCCCATCTACTAGCTGCCCGGCCCACCCGGCTGGGCCCAGGCCCAAGTTTATCCTCATTCTCAGGCGAGACAGAGAGGCTCTGAGGGGCGGGATGGGGCTGGGACGTGGGTAGGGTGAGACCAGGGACAAGCGGGGCCTGACCGGGGCCTGGATCCTGTCCCAGGACAGAGGGGCAGGCCGAGCCGCACCAGCCCCAGGGCGCAGTGCTAAGGGGGCAGCTGTTCTCAGCCTGCCGGACTTGGCCCCAAATGTTCCCAGAGCGTCTGCGGAGACACAGCCCAGGAAGCTGGCGCCTGCTGTACAGCCCCCGGGGCAGCGACCCCTCCTTCCCTGTCCCAGCATCCAACATTCAGAGGCCTCCCTTCCCCCGGGCCAGTTGCCCGAGGTCACCACGGGCTGGCCTTGAGGCTGAGAGCAGAGGCGGCTACTGCTGCCGGGCCTGGCCGGAGCTGGGCTCCCTGCAGGCCCGAGGCCAGCTCCACAGCCGGGTCCAGAGTCCAGGAGCCAGTGCTGGCCATCCTGACCTCTCTCCTTGCGTGGGCCTGCCGTGGTCTGGGTCCCCCTTTCTAACCCCGGCCAGACTCCGGAGACGGGCTGACAGTCACCTGCGCACACGCACATGCCCGCGTGTGGTCTGCAGACCTCTTGGTGTGGGGCTCCCTCCATCAGGTCCCTCTGGCAGGCCTTCGGGTTGGGATGCAGGGGTCCCACAGACAAAGGTCAGGACCCTGTGGTCACCTCAGGGTCATGGATCGTGGCTCTGTGAGGGGAGAGATGCTGCCTGGCTCATCTCTGAGGCCCGGGCGGCACAGGGGCAGCTTGTAGAGTGAATTGTAGGCCGTATCAGCCACGTGAGAGGATGAGGGACAGCTGCAATGTGCTGGCCGCTTCCTGTGACCCTGGTCACGTACGTGACAAACTATGACTGTGTATTCTCTAACTGCGGGAGGCAGAATAATGTCCCCAAGGATGCCCAGCCCACGTCCTAATCCCCAAAACCTGTGAATATGTTACCGTGTGTGGCCAAAGGGACTTTGCAGGTGTGATTAAGGCTCCTGAGACAGAGGTTACCCTAACTTTCCAGGGGGGCCCTGGTAATCACAAGGGTCCTTATGAGAGGGAGGCAGGGGGTCAGAGGAGACGTGGTGATGGACGCAGAAGTCTGAGTGATGTGGGGCCGTAGCAGGAGCATGGGTGTCTCTAGACACCAGAAAGGACGAGGAACAGGTTCTCCCCTGGAGCCTCCGGAAGGAGCACAGCCCTGCAGACCCATCGTAAACTTCTGATCTCTAGAACTGTAAGGTAATACAGTTGTGGTTTTTAAAGCCACTAAATTTGTGGTAATTCGTTACAGCGGCCACAGGAAACGAATAGTCACCAACTTCCTCCCACGACCTCCCCTGCTCTGCGTCCCCGGAGCTCGGAGAACAGCTGTCCTGTGGGTCTGTCCTCTTTGCTCACCTGGCAGGGCCCCCAGGTGGGCCTGGGGACGGGCGCTGTCATGGCGCACACACAGCTGCGAGTGTCCTGGGTCCCCTGGCAGTGGGTGACCACAGGGCCGGGCAAGGGGAGGCAGCAGTGACCCCCAAGATTGAGGAGCCAGTGGGAGGGAGACGGCTGGGGGGCTGCTCTCCTCCCCAAATCCCAGTGTTCTGTAATTCGAGCTACAGTTCTGGGAATTCAGCGAAAATTGTGATGGATGTCACCGTTGGCACGTGGGGAGCAGTGGGCCCAGCCACTGCAGCCCACAGGGTCCCTTCCCAGACCAGGGGACTTCCTCTGTCCCCTGTTTCCTTCTGCGCAGTCATCAGCCCCTCGGCCTTCTCCAAGGCTCTTGGGCTGTCACCCCAGAACGTGCCTTTTGAGTCCGAGAGGACACTCGGGTGACAGAGGAGCAGACAGGGGCGGTGGCCCAGGCAGGCTGCCAATGCTGGGGTCCCAGCGGCCACAGACCTGCCCTGGGGCCCCTCGCCCCTCGCCAGGGGGACAAGCCAGCTCCTGCTCTCCCTTTACCCCAGGGCAAGGACCCCCGGTCCGCCAGCCCCTTGAGGGAGCCCCTCCCTCTCTCCACCCCCCAGGCCTGAGGCTTAACAGCGGCCACACGGACGTCTGTGCCCACCGGTGCCTAAGTCAGGGCTCTCCAGGCTGAGAGGATCTCGTCCCTCCAGGTACTAAAGGTGGTCATGCGAATCCAGAGGAAATCAGACGCCTGTACTGACCCTTGCGGAGGACTCCAAGCAAAGCACCTGGCATCATTTTAACATCTGGAAAGACCAGATCATAAATGAGAGAAGGTGACTGCCCTGAAGACGAGAGCCCAGAGATGCCATGACCACCTTCCAGCCTGGCCCAGGGTCCACGCAAACGGACTGAGCAACTGTGTGGCCAACACACGAGGCTGTCGGGCGGTTGGGGGAGGCTTGGGGGACACAGGGAGGAGGTGCCTCTCCCCCACGGAGCCTGGCTCAGCCCGGGGCCCCCTTTCCCCAGGTCCGTGTGGCATGCTGGGTGTCCCTGTGGCCACCAGACGTGATGTGCACGTGTGTCCACCGTTCCTGCCTCTATCAGGAGCATCTTGGGGCAGGACTGGTGACTCAGCCACCTCTGTGCCCCAGGCCAAGAACAGAGCTTGGCACAACGAGACCCTTGGTGAAGGTTTGCTGAATGAATGAATAACGAATGAATGAATGAGGAAGCACAGTGAGTGAAGGCATGAAAAGCAGGGGGCTTTCAAACCCACTGACGTCAACTTCTAAAGAAAGTGGGAGAATTTCCCTCTGCTCGGTTCTTTCAGAACGGGCTTGGCAAGACTTGGCTGAATGGGGTTGGGTCTCCCACCCCGAGGGGCTGGTATGAGGAGGGTCTCCTACACCAGCCAACTTCCCTGCATATCTTAGTGGCTGAGTCCAGGGGTCTCCATCCAGCCCCATAGAAATTCCCCCACACCCGCAGTGTCTACTAGTCCTGAGGACGGGGTCAGTTGTGTCCCCGCTACAGAGCTAAGGGTGAGGGGACCCTGCGCGCTCTGACCCCCTCGCTCCCCCACGGGAAGTCCTGTTGAAGGACACAGGACCACAGGACCAGCGTCCTCAGGAAAGAGCAGAGTATCCCCCAACGGCAGAGCTCTGCCGTCGGTCCGCTCCCATCTCACGGGGCAGAATTCATCTGGGTACGAGCCCCTTTCCCCAGTGCAGAGCCACCGGACAGTCTCCGGGAACAAGTGAGCCACCGAGCTGCTGCCTCCCACTCTCCAGGCCCCCGTGCTCCATGCTCTTCCTGGGGGCCCCGCCTGATTCTCCAGCCCTCCGTTCAGGCCGACCTGACTGATCCTCTCAGCCACCCTCGGGACTCAGTTCACCTCGACGTCTTAACCAGCCTGGAAATGCCACCAGCGGAGCAATGCTTGAATTCTCGGCTCCCTGCATGAGTCCTGGCACGTGACAGAGACTCCGTGAGTGTTTGTTGAAGCGAGGAAGGAAGGAATCCCGCAGAAGGCATTCTGGGCATCACAGGGACTTGGTTCAGAGAGGCCTGGGTCCGAATTCTGTCAGTAATCCCATCTCACGCTCTGCACACCCCACTTCGTCCCCAGAGCACCACTGCTGTTTCCCCATCCGTCTCTCACAAAGGGACGCAGACCCACAGCTACGAGACATTTAAGTACCCAGGATCCTCAAGGGCCCACTGCAAACCGGCTCCCCGGCAGCCTGCTTGCGGTGGTGTGAAAAGGGTTGGAGAGGCCTGGGACGCCTGCGTAGGGGAGGGGGTGGAAGGCCAGGGGCTGCTGTGGTCCTGGGGCTGACCGGGACATGGCCTGCCCCGCAGGTGTCAGGAGTGTCCTGCAGGTCACAGACTACTCTCTACACGGGGCTCTGCCCCTCTGCACAGTCCTGGCGCCCTTCAGGCCGTGGCTCCCAGTGGGGGTCCTGCTGGGGTGCTCCCTGGCAGAGGTCTGGCACACATAGTGCCTGGTAAAGCAAAGCTGCTGATACGCCTCCCCTCCGAGGGCCTGTGGTCCCCCAGGGCTGCAGTTCACCCCTAGATCCCTTCCTTCCTCCCTTCAACAAACACTCACGGAGTCTCTACCACGTGCCAGGACTCGCGCAGGGAGCCGGGAATTCAGAACAAAGAGAACGGGGCCTTTCCTCCAGGCTCCAAGTGAAGTGGAGCGGAGGGAGCGAGTGTAATCTGACGGGACACAGCGTACAGGTGGTTTATGGACAGAGGAGGGAGCCCCCCGCCCAGCTCGGGGTGGGAGGGTGAGGACGTGTGGCAGTGGGAGGAGTCAGCGAAGTCTTCAGGGGGTGACATTCAAGGTGAATCCTAAAAGACCTAAAGCAGGAGTTCGCCGGGATGCAAGGGCACAAGAGGGCGTTCCCGGCAGAAGGAACATGTTTGCGAAGGTGCAGAGGCCAGAAAGCGCACGGCGCTGGGCAGACGCACCAGCTCGGGTGGAGCGGGGCTGTGGGTGAGGGGGCAGTGGGAACTCCTCCCCTGCTCAGTGCACCACCACCCCAGCCTCCTCTCGGCTCCTGGAGCTGGCCAGCTCATTCCTGCCTCAGGGCCTTTGCACGTGCTGCTCACCCAGCCTGGAACCCTCCTCCTCCTCTCTCATCAGGGCTGACCCTGCCTCATCTGTCAGGCTTAGCTCCAGTCTCATGTCCTCTGGAGGCTTTCCCTGGCCAGCCCACGTACGGTCGGTTCTTCCCCATTGTCCCGCCTCAAGATGCCCCATGGATTTCCTCAGTGCCCCTGCCCCTGCAGCCCTTCTTGCCTGATTTCTTGCATTATTCGGTAGTGTAGGCATTGATTTCTGTCCCTCTCTGGAACGTCAGCCCCAGGAGGGCAGGGTCCACGCGTGCCTCCCCCTCCCTGCTGCCCCTCCTGCCCAGCGCCCAGCGGGCCTCTGAGTGGTGAAGAACTTGCCCTTTGCCCTCCTTGCTGGGCACCCCTGCAGAGGTCTTTGTTCAGGGAGGGGGTTAACCACACCCAGTAGTCTTGGGGTAGGGCGGGCCGTGCCAGAACGACCAACCACGTGATTTAGGGGGGTCTCGGGTCATGCCCCTCAGAGAGCGACATCAACCACACGGCAATCAATCAGGCCATCAGTCAAGCACCTATATAACGGGGCCCCAATAAGACCCCTGGACGCGGAGCTTCCCCGGTTGGCAATACTCCACGCGTCTGTCCCCATGGATGCTGGAAGGTACCGTGTCCCGACTCCACAGGTGGGGACGACGGAGCCCTGTGGGGACCCTCCTGGACCCTGCCCCAGGCGTCTCTGTGGCTGATTTCACTCTGCATCCTCCCCTGTAATAAACTGTAACTGTGGCTACAATAGTTCCCAATGAGTTCTGTGAGTCCTTCTAACTAATTGTTGAACCTGAGGGCAGTGTGGGAGACCCCTCGACACTGCAGTTGGTGTCAGGAGTGCGGACGGTCTCAGGGACTGTTTGGGGACCCACTAACTTTGCAGCTGTCCCCACACTTTTGTGGCCATTGGTGTCTATTGAAGGAATGAAGGGGTCAGCAGGGCCCGGGCGGGGAGGCCCCGGGATGCCCCCTGCTCCCCTCGCGTCGTCCCTCAGCTGATCTACTGTTTACACCTTCATACCCTCCAGGCCTCATGCCACCTGCCCCGCGGCCTGGGGGACTGGCCAGCGAGCTGCAGAGGGTGGTCAGGGTCCTCCTAATCGTATGAAGATCCCACACGAGCGGGGAAGAGCGCACCGGAGAAAAGAGTCAATTCCACCCACCTTGTTCTTGTCTTCAGTTCTGGCCGCCTGTCGACACGCCGGGTGCCAGAGGGAGGAGCCTGCAGACAGATTTCCGAGAGGGCAGTGGTTAGTGTTATTTCCCGTGCTGCAGGGCCCAGGGACGGTCAGGAGGCAGCCGGCGTCCACACATGGACACTCCTTCACCCACTCATTCTCTGTGCCGGAGGGGCGCCGGGCCCGGGGGGTGCAGATCACCTGCCCGGGGGCTCACAGTGCAGGTGGTGGACATGAGATAAACAGGAAAACACATCACTGTGCGCTCCTGCGGGGCCCGCATGGCGTCCCGCAGAACGTGAGAGGGCACCTCGCCTGGCCCGGGCAGCCGGATGAGGCTCCTCAGAGGACGGGTATCTGGGGGGCTTCCAGTTCAGAGGCAGAGGAGAGAGAGGGGGCTGCCGTGTGAGAGGGAGGGGGAGCCTCAGGCGTGGGGTGAAGAACAGGCTGGGGGCCGGGCACAAGGCTGGAACGCTGGGCCCGGCCCGTCACTAATTCACTGGCTCTCTAAACCCTCTCGTGCCTCGGTTTCCTCACCTGCCAGCTCTGCCCGGCCACCCACGTCAACAGCCACACATCAAAGCAACCAAGCGCCCCATGTGTCTGGTGTTCTGCTCTTTCCTAATTCAAACTCCACCTCCCCAAGTCTCAGATTTTTCCCACCTGCAAACAGGGCCAGTAACAATCCTAGCTCATCAGGAGATTTTAATGAATTCAGTAGGGCTAATGACGTATTGGAAAAGCACCTTGTGAATGGTGGTATATACACGTTAGTGTTACATACGCATGTCAGCTCTCCCTGCTCCCCATGCTTTGGGGCTCAGAGCACCTGCTGCCCCCCCGGGGCCTCCTTGAACCTCAGCCTGACCCCACTCCTCGGTGGAGCCGCCCACTGAGCATACGCCTTCTGCCGGCGGCCGCGGCTTGTCTAGGTTCCTGCCCCACCGGCCCCAGCCAGCCCATGCCACATGGAGGTGGGCTGTGTGCATCCCACTCTCGCATCCCCTAAACAAGCCACACAGGCCTGGCACATAGCAGGGGCCTAAAATGTGTGTGTGGAAGGGCGGAACCACGTCCTCTCCTGCTTGCAGAGCCTCCAGGTGAATTAACGCCGGGAAGCGAGCCCCTTACTGCTCCTCTGGCAGATATCTGCATCAGCCCGGAGCTCCTGAGATTTGATTGGGGGTGTGTAAAATGTTCATTTTTTAAAGATTTTATTTATTTTATTTTTTTCCCCCCAAAGCCCCAGCAGATAGTTGTATGTCATAGCTGCACATCCTTCTAGCTGCTGTATGTGGGACCCGGCCCCAGGATGAATGGAGAAGTGGTGCCTCGATGCGCACCCGGGATCCGAACCCAGGCCACCAGCCTTGCAGCGCGCGCACTTAACCACCAAGCCACAGGGCCGGCCCAAAATGTTCATTTTTTAAAAAAAATTGTGGGGCCGGCCCAGTGACGGAGCGGTTAAGTGTTCGCGCTCCACTTCAGCGGCCCAGGGTTCGCAGGTTCAGATCCCGGGCGCGGACCTACGCACCGCTCATCAAGCCACACTGAGGCCGCGTCCCACACGGAGCAACTAGAAGGATGTACAACTATGACATACAACTATTGCTGGGGTTTTGGGGAGAAAAAAGGAGGAAGATTGGCAACAGATGTTAGCTCAGGGCCAATCTTCCTAGGGAAAAAATTGTTCCATTACAAAGGTAATAGATGTCCCTTATTAAAAATTAAAGGAACCTAAAAAAGTATAAATAAGAAAATTAAAATCATCTACAATCTCTTTCCCCCTTCTGGCTGGGCCGCCTCCCAATGGACACGTACACAGTAAATAGAACGCGGATCAGGCCGTCCACACCCGGTGTCTGATCCTGTGATTTCTGCTTAAAAACATCTTGAACATTTCCCATATAATTAAATATCAAAAGCATAACTTTGCACGGAGAAATGAGAATTAATTTATCCGCTCCTGGCCTGAGGGCCCCAATGCTTTACTTCTAAATAACGTTGTGGGGACCCCCCTGTGCACACGTGCTGGCACATCTCTCGTTATTTACTTAAGGACTTCCTAGAAGTGGAGTCTTGGATCAAACGGTGTGGATGTTTTCAAGGCTCTTGATGCATATTGGCCATTTCCCAGTTTTCGCCCCCACCAGCCAGGTGAGAGGCCCTTTTCCTCGAATTCTTACAACATGGGGACATGTCCTTCCTTTTAATCTTTGTCAACCCAATGAGAAAAAATAGCATCTAATCATTTTAACCTGGTCTCCCTGATAATTAGTGAGAGTCAGCAGCCCCTCCCCTACGTTTATTGGAAAGAGTCCACGGCTGGAAAGGTGTGTCCAGTGGGAGGGGGTGGTGGTATGGGGGGGTGGCTGCCTCATCATCTTTGAAGCTGTGGGGCTCGCTGGGACCACTGCTCTAGAGAGCTCTTACTACACAGGATTCACCTGTCCCATAACACCTCCATGGAGCCCCAGCATCCAGACAGACCAGGAGGAGGGTCTTGGGGTGTCCAGGCAGATGGGGCCAGAGCTCCCAAAGACGCCCCGGCCATGGGACTCTGGTGCTCCATGGCACAGAGCTCGAAAACCACTGTCTGATCCGACCCCTCATCATACAGATCAGGAAATGTGAGGCCGGGAGAGGGCATGGGGCTGGCTTCAACATCCAGAAAGTCACAGCAGGTGCTGTTTTAGAAGTGGGGCTCCAGCCTCAGCCCAGAGCCGTGAAGACCATCTTTGTTCCCCGAGACTGGGTCCCCCTTGATGGTGAGCTCATGTTCCCTGCTGCCGTCCCAGAGCCATTGTGCTCCGTATCAGAAGGCCTGAGAGCACTATTTACGGTGGGGGTGGCCACCTCGGGCAGGGGGACCCTCCCCATCCAGACATCGCAGCACTGTATGGGTGCAAAGGACCCCTTTCATGGGCTCTCGAGTGGAGACTCAAGGAACAACAGGGGACCCTGGGGACCAGGCTGTCCTAACTTACATCACCCCACGACTTCGGCCTCAGAAAGGGAGGCCTGTCTAACACACAGCCCCAACATGATGCCATGTGAGATCATTAAACAGCCCATCTGAGGGACAGTGTGTGGTTCTCCCACGTGCCTGCCCTGTCCAGCTTGCCTCCAGGGTCACTGGAGACAGAGACGTCGTTGAAAAGAAACTGTGGCTAAAGAGATGAGGTCTCGACATCACCCATCCTTCCCCGGGCCCCTCTCCCCACATCCAGGCCATTCCCAGGTCCAGTGGGCTCTACCTCCCACACATCACCCACCGCCCACCACTGCCCACTGCCCACCACTGTCCCCCGCCTCACCATGGCTGCTCGGGCCAGCCTGCTGGGGCCCTGCTCCCCCAGCTCCCGCTGCGTGACGGGGCTTCCTAACCAGCGAGATGACCCATGTGACCCCCCAGATCACACCCGACACACGGAATGGGCGCAGAGGTGTCCGTTTCTTGCCCTAGGGGACTGAGCAGTGCATTTCTGCTCTTACCTTGAAGGTACATCTCCTCGCCCTCCGCAAACATCCGGCCGCACCTGACGCATAGTGCACACGAGGGGTGGTAGTGTTTCTCCCCCGCCTGCAGGAGAACAGAGCAGAGGTGTTTCTATGGAGGTGGAGTGGTCACTGAGCCAGCAGCACCGGCTTGTGGAACAGCACGCCCACACGCTGGCACTCAGGGGATGCTGGGAGGCGAGCTGTGCGGCAGAGGGCCCACAACCGTGCGGGACGGACAGGACCAAGGACAGAGCCCGGATCCAGTGGGTGTCCCCAGGCCGTCCAGGTGCCTGTGTGTGCGTGTGTGCGTGTGTGTGTGTGTGTGTGTGTGTGTGTGTGTGTGAGAGAGAAAGCTGGGCCCCAGCCCACTGGGGGCCTCATTGCGGAGCAGAGACCCTGCCAGACGGCCCAACCTCCAGGAGAGCAGGTGTGTCACCAACTCCTCCAGCTCAGGGGTTGATGCGTCTGCCGCCCCCACGAGGCAGAGGGGAGTCAGGTCCCACCCATCTCTGCATGGCGGGGACGGGGGCGAGGAGAAGGAGGAGGAAGAGGGCGGAGGACAAAGCTAACATTATTTCCCCAGGTGGAGGGACTGGAGGGGTGGGGTGGAAAATGATTAATAATTTTCGTTTTGTATCTCTGTATTGCTCAATTCTCTTATTAGCATTTATTATTTTTATAATTCTTAAAAATCCATTAAACTAAAAATATTAACACTGAAATAAGCTAAACAAATTATATTGGCTGGTTTGGGTAGTTCTACGTGGTGCAAAAATAAATCCCCCCAAATCCTGAACCCAGCATTATCTTATAGTGACCACTTCTCAGCCTCAGGGGGGGCACGGCTGCAGCCTGGCGCTAAGTGTGGATGCTGGTCCCACGTTTCACTCTCTCCTAAAATGGGAGGACACTTAATCATCACTCTCTGAATTTGAATTAGTAATAATCACGCTCCTGAATTAGTAAGGAATGGGGCAGAAACTCATTACAGGCGTCTCACTTTTCTTTCCCTTATGCACTGGTGCCTTTGGTGAAAATCAGCCGTCAAGGTGACCCCTGTGTATGGGGAGGAAGAATCCAGAACAGGCTCCTCTCTGCATGGGGCAGGATGTGCTAATCGAGTGGCCTACCAATATCTTCAGCAAAGGGGTTCTTCCTGGGAAGCACGAGGATGCTGAGCCCTCGGTCCTGCCTGCTCTGCAGGCTCCGGGCCTTTGCATAAGCTGTTCCTTCCTCCTGGAGTGCCCTTCCTACTCTCCACCCCAGGCCACTGGAAGGTTCTTTATCTCATCTCAAGTGTCACCTCCTCTTGGAAGCTTCCCCTGGACATTTCTCTACTCTGGACTCCCACAGCCCCATTTTCACAAGGTTTGGCAATTATTTGGGGTAATTCTTCCCCACTAGGCAGTGAGCCTCTGAGGGTGGGGCCTGGCACGGGGCCATCACAGGAACTGCTAGTGCAGGGCTCTGTCTGCGTAGCAGGTTGCTCCACAGCATTTGGCCCCGCAGAACAAGGGTGAAGCTGTCATTTCAGTGATTAAAAGCATTAAAACGCCTAAGTGATCAGAGCCGCCCTCACGCTGAGGTGTAAACAGGGGACTGAATCAGCTCCTATCTTCAGAAGCAGGAACCGCCTGTCATCCACGTCACTGCTCTCAACTGCTGACTCAGGCCTTTTAAACACTGTGACCTCTGACCTGTCCTCACGCCACCTCATCCAGGCGCCCCCTTCACACTGGGGGGGACAACCCCTCTGACTTCAAACAGGAGCTCTGTGACAGCCACTTGAGGGAGAAAGCTCATGCTGGAGGGAAACAGATCCTGGCGTCTACACAGCACATCTACATGCGAGTCAGGAGGAGAGGGAAAACTGTGGGGACAGTTTCTCGGATGACAGGCTTGAAACCCCAACCCAACGATGAGAACTAACGCTGAGTGGAGGAACAGCCCCACAGCCACCGTGAGAGGCCGGCCCTGCATCCACGCTCTTCCCTCCCACCCCAGCACCCGGCAGACTCCCCTACCTCCAAAACTTACAGCCACTCGGCCACCGTTTCTGCGGCTGGAGCTCAGAGCCCTTCACACATCCTAACTTGTCTTCACCCTCGCGATAGCCCTGTGAGGTACGTCCTTATCCTCGGTTCCCGTAAGGAGCACGGAGAGGCGGAGAAACCTGAGCTCTCATGGCAGGGACGTGGTGGAGCCAGCCTTAGAGCCCGGGGGTCTGGCCCCTTGTGGCCTCTCAGCACCCGGCCTGGCGGTCCCCAGCTCTGGGGTGTGCACCCCGTCCTTACAGGCTCCCCACCTCCCAGGCCCTGAGCAATCAACGTGGCCTCTGACGGACCTAAGACTGCGCGAGAGAAGGCAGGCACTGAATAACAGATTCCGTTTTTACCAAGTCCAAAACTAGGCCAATGAATCCACACTGTCAGAGTCAGGGTGGTGGCTGCCCTTGGGGGCCCCAGGGGCCGTCTGGGGGGCTGGGCACGTTCTGTTCTAGATCTGGGTGCTGGCTACATGGGCGTGTCTAGTTTGCAAAAATTTATCAGGCTGCACATGTATGGTTCGCGTGCTCCTCCGTGTGCGTTACAGGCCAGTGAAAGAATTTTCCCACAAGATGGATCAATGGCCTGAATGTAAGAGCTAAAGGTACGAAAGAAACTCTTAGAAGAAAACACACGGCACATCCTGATGAGCCAAATTTGGCAATGGATCCTTGGATTTGACAGCGAAAGCAGGAGCGACAACAACAAAATAGATAAATTAGACTTCACAAAAATTAAAAACCTTTGTGCATCAAAGGACATTATCCAGAAAGTGGAAAGACAACTACAGAATGGGAGAAAATATTTGCAGATCATAGATTTGATAAGGGCTTAGTATCCAGGATATATAAAGAACTCTTACTGCTCAACAATAAAAAGACAGACAGTCCAAGTAAAAGATGGGCAGAGGACTTGAACAGACATTTCTCCAAAGAAGATACACAAATTGCAAAGAAGCACATAAAAGATACTCCACACCATTGTCATTAAGGAAACGCAAATCCAGACCATGAGGCGCAAACGCACACCCACTCCGGTGAACATGATTAAAACAAAACAAAACAAAAAATGTAAAATAACAAGTGTTAGCAAGCATGTGGAGAAATAGGAAGCCCGTACATTGACGGAGGGAATGTAAAATGGTGCAGCGGCCGTGGAAAACACTTGTCAGTGCCTCAAAAATTATAGAATGACCATAGGACCCAGAAATTCCACTCCTTGGTATATAAGAAAAATGAAGAGAACAGAACAAGGGAAATGAAAACATAGGTCTACACGAAAACTGGTACATGAATGCTCACAGCAGCATCATTCTCAACAGCCAAAAGGTGGAAACAACCCAAACGCCCATCAATGGGCGAGTGGATAAACAAATTGTGGTCTATCCATGCAACGGAATATTATTTGGCCACAAAAAGGAATGAAGTGCTGACATGTGGGGCCCCCATGATGTCTTATAAGGACATTAGTGTCCTTACAAGAAGAGACACCAGAGCTCGCTCTCTGCCATGTGAGGACACGGGACAGGCGCCGTCTGCAAGCCAGGAAGTGGTTCCTCGCCGGGAACGGAAGGGGCCGGCACCTTGATCTCAGACGTCCAGCCTCCAGAGCCTCCAGCACTGGGGGAGTACCTGTCTCTTGTTTAAGCCGCACGGTCTATAGTGCCTGTTGTAGCAGCCCAAGCCGGCTAAGATGGGCTTACAGAGTCAAAAGCAGAAGTCTCCTCACTCCGTGTATCAATCTCCTCGTCACTCCCGTCCTCCCTCGGTGGCCACAGTGACGGGCGGCCCACGTCACTGGGGCACTGCTGCACCCCCGCTGTTCCAGGGCCTTTTCCTCCCAATCGCCGCCAAGAAGAGCCTCAAAAATCAGCACCTGGGGGTGGCCTCTGCGCGGCCCCCCAGCCCAGCCCCGCAGATGGCCCAGCGGGGGCTCAAGAGGGCTCAGATTTTACAAGTATATTAAAAGCCCATGAGGTTTTGCAGTGCGTGGTTTTAAAAAGACGCCTTGTGCCTTCTGACAAGTGGCTGTCATCTTTAGTAAGACAGAACAAGCCTCTTCAGACACGCAGGAACGCAGCCTGCAGGAGCCAGCACCGGGGCAGAGTGGAGGGTTCCGAGCACACCCCCTGCGGACGTGCAGGACCGGGCTAGCACCGAGGAGACGTGGCAACGTCTCTGGGCTCCAGAAATGCCCTCCCCTCCCTGCAGAGAGGTGCTAGGAATCCCTTCCTCACAGGGCTGTGGGAAGCACAGGGGGACGGGCCCCCGACTGTGATGGGCCTCTCACACCCCAGGCAGGCGGCCCCTTTTCCTCCCTAACCCATCCACGGCCTCTTCCACACCCTGGAGACCCGGCCAGTCTCCACCTGCTTTCCCGCCCTCCCTTGGATTCCAGGCTGCAGAGGGCTGGGCCTGCACGCCACACAACTCCCCAGCCCGGGATGGCCATTTCCTAGTGGTGGCTCACGGTGCACTCACCAGCCCGATTCGAAGCTTTAGTTTCCTTTTTGAATGACCAGAACTGAAGCCAGATCTTAAAAGACCTAATCATCAGGGTGCGCTGATAAAACGAAATTTACTGAAAAGCTAATCTAGACCTTCAGCAGGAGCAGTGCAGCCGGGGGAGCATCTGGCAGCCGTACACAGTCCCCAGCAGCCTCTGCACCCTAAGACACTCAGGGGCCACTTCGCCCTGAAAAGAAGAGCCCAAGTCCCTGCCAGCCGGCAAAGCCCCGTGTGACCTGCAGCCCCCTCAGAGCCCCTGACCTCCCCCTCTGCCACTCTCCCCACTGTTGACCCCCCTTCTGCCACCCCGGCCTCCTCCCTTTTCTAGGGAGACGCCCACTCTCAGCTTGGGGTCTCTGCGGGAACATGCGTCGCCAGGCCGGCACGGCTCTCACTCTCGTGCTCTCTCTTCCTCTTGCTCACAATCTAGCGCCGTCTAGGACGTGTGCTTCCGGAGGACTGAGCTGTCCCCTTCTTCTCCACTGTGCCCAGACCCCAGAGCAGAGCTGCACATAGAGATGGTGCCCCAT